CGACTAAGATGACATAAAAAATCGAGATAAAACTTTCGAATCGATTTCGATCTTTTTTTTTTTCTTTTTTCACTTCTTCATTTTTCATTTGTCGTCCCCACCGTACATCTCTCTCTCTCTCTCTCTCTCGCTATTTTTTTTACTTTATTTTATGTTATTTTATTTTTATTGTTTTACTTTTTTTTCCCCCGTTAATTCATTTAAAATACATGCAGATGCTTTTAATGATTTCAAATTAATCGATCTTTGATGTCATCGAATAGTCGAACGTAAGTAACGTTTCCGCTTGAAACAATTGAATTAACTACGATAGACCAGTCTAAAATTATTTATATCTAGGGATAAATTACATCAAGGGGACAATTAACTAAAACAAACGTAGAGACAATGTTCTGCCGAAAATTGCATTATCGATAATTGAAATTTTCGCGAGGTCTGTGTGATCGTTAAAAAAAAAAAAAAAAAAAAAAAAAAAAAAAAAAAAAAAAAAAAAAAAAAAAAGAAGTCATCGATTATCTATAAAATTTTTCATTCGTTCTTCTTCTTTTTTCCCTTTTTTTTTTTTTTTTTCTTTTAATACCACCATTCGTTTGAGTCATAAAAAAAAAAAAAAAAAAAAAAAAAAAAAAAAAAAAAAAAAAAAATTAAAAATTACATGATCGACGTTAAAAAAAAGAAAATTATCGTGACGTCTTTCGTGATTGTAAAAAAAAAAAAAAAGAGAGAAAAAAAAAAGAAAAAAACAAGAAAAGAAAAGGAAAGAAAAAAGTAAATAAAAGTAAAAGACAAAGAACAAAATAAATTTGTTAAAAGAACTTCTTTTTTCTTTTCTTTTTCTTTTTCTTTTTTTTTTTCCCCTTTTTTAAATACTATCATTTCATTTGTCCGATAATGACGTCATAGAGAAACGAACAATATATAAAATTTCGGCAGAAGATTTACATCGATTAATGTCGGTTTAATGTAAACCGTTCAATTAAATTATCTCCAAAGCGTAATTATTTAATAATAATTGCACCATTCGCGGGTCGACCACTTTGTTATTGAAAATCATTAATGATCGAAGGAACTTTTCGAAAGTGGTCCATGGATCGATCGATCGAAATCCATTTCGATAGATCATCCCCTCTATCTGTTCTTTCTATTTTGTTTTTCGTTTCTTCTCTTCTTTTTTTTTTTTTTTTTTTTTTTTTTTTATACACCTATCATTCCAAAAACCCATCCCCATTTTCTTCAAACCCCGCCCCCACCCCACCCCACCCTTCCCCGCCCCGGCCAATATTCTTTCCACGTTACTTTCGTCAGGAAAATGTCAGATAAATGGGTTTTGTGTACGGATCGCTTGTGTATGGTGATACAACACCATGGAAAATTTTTAAATACTTTTTACAAAGGTACAGCAGTGTCCATTTTATCTACGATACCAAAATATATATATATATATATATATATATATATATATATATATATATATATGTATATATATATATATAACCTCTGTATTTCACAAGCGTTCAACGTCGAGATTACGATACGAGAAACATCCTGTTATATCGATCATTTAATTATTATCATAGTGTGTGTATATATATATATGTGTGTGTGTGTGTGTGTGTGTGTGTGTAGGTGTGTGCGTGTGCGTGGGTGTGGGTATGTGTGTGTATGCAATAAATCGATTTTTCGTTGGAGAGAAATTTTTTTCATAGAAAAAAAAAAAGAAAAAGAAAAAAAAAAGAAAAAAAAAGTAAAGAAAAAAAAAGGGAAGTTCGCTTACAAATATTTTTAACGATCGAACGATTAAAATTTAAAGTTAAAATGTCGTCTAATCGACTATAGATTTTATATATATATATATATATATATATATATATATATATATATATATTTTCGATCAGAAGTAATGCGTCTATAAATAAATGAACGAATAAATGAATATTATTTTTTGGAATGTAAAAATATTTCTTTATTTCTTTTCTTTTTTTTTTTTTTGTTCTTTTTTTCGCGATTTAAGAGAAGGACTAAAATTATTGTTATCGACTTTTTTCTCTTTTTTCTTCCTTTTTTTTCTTTTTTTTCTTTTTTTTCTCTTTTTCTTTTGAACTACTTTCCACCGATTATCTCGTACGAAATAAATATTCCTTTTGTTTATCATAGAAATTGAATTGGCACGATCATAAAACTTTATTGGCTTTGTTATTTCGTTATTTCTTTTTTTTTTTTCTTTCCCCTCCCCCTCCCCCTCGTCCCTTTTTTTTCTCTTTCTTGCAGATGAATAAAATTAGATGAAGCATCTCACGTCAATAATTCTCAATATTCACGTTAAAATGATTGTTGCGGAGGAGGATGATGGAAAAAAAACAAAAAAAAAAAAAAAAAAAAAAAAAAAAAGAAACAAAAAAGACAGAAATGAAAGAAAGAGAAAAAAGAAAGAGAGAGAGAGAGAGAGAGAGAGAGAGAGAGAGAGAGAGAGAGAGAGAGAGAGAGAAAAGAAGAAAGTATC